GTTTTTTTAATTGATTGATGATTGATTCAATCAACTAATTTGTTGATTGTATTAACTTGATTCTTTAGATATTGAAAATTAAATAAATAACATTATGTTAATTTAAGCGTACAGAAACGTTGCTGTTGTTCCAGCAAAAATCTTATTTTCACTTTACCGAGTGCCTAGTAGGTAATTTGCAGATTATCTAGATAATCTGAACATTACCTAGGTAATTTGAGAAATGGAATAATTTTCGCAGCTTTAACGGATCACCCTAGTTAATCTGCAGATTAGCTAGGTAATGTGCACATTAACGGATTTCGAGCTTTAGCGGTAACATATATATTAATACGATGGTTTTTTTTTTATTTAAATTCAAATATTCTTAAATTTTTGTATATAATAAAGATACAGTACTATTTTTATCGAAAAGTTTATTACATCCAACTTTATTTCTATTAAACAAACTACTAACTTTACTCGTAGTGCATTGGTGAAAGGAATCAGGAGTCAGAGTCGATTTAAAAAAATACCGACTCTGGTATCGGGAGACGTGTATTTTTCTTTATCCTGGCAAAAATGTAAAAATCTTTGGGGTCATTTTTGAACGATCGCCATACTTTCTTCTTCTGTTATATATAACAGAGCCGGGAAAGTAATTAATCTGATGCAATTTGCAAGTTTTGTAAACTTTGTGAAATGTTTTCATTAAAATTTTAAAAATCTGATTCCAATTTATTTCATAATGAGTACTAATCTCGAAATTAATAGATGCATTAGTAGAAATTTTTTGCGATAATAACGAAATCTGTCTTTTCTTTTCTCAACGTCCGTTTTAGTTTTTGTAATATTTTCTGTTAACAGCTACAAACTGTCTCCTAGTTTTGAATTTTCTCACATTTTACTAAACTTATTTTCTGAATTTAAAAAAGTTTATACTATTTATTGGTAAATTGTTCTTATTTTCTGCAACCCTTTCCTTAAAAAGAGATAAAGACCGTAAAATATAAATATTGTTACGGAATTTTTTGTGTTAAAATGGTGAAATAAACATAATTCATACAATTTAAAAATTGACTTATTCCGAAACCTTGTTTTCTTTTAATTATTTTTTACGTCACAACTGGTGCATAGGTAGACACTGGGCATCTTTAACACCATTCTTTATTCAGGAATATCTTACACACCGATAAGCGTTTCGGGTATACGTCCCTCTTCCGTCGGATTAAGATATTCTTGTAAAGAGTGATGTTAAAAATGCCCAGTGTGAATACCTATGCACCCAGTTGTGAAGTAAAGAACAATTTAAAAGGTCATTTTTGTTAATTTGTACAATTTTTGACTATTGTACATTAATAAAATTTAAAAATTTCTAAAATATTAATTAAATAGAAATTGATAATTACTAATAGTTTATATTAACCTTCATAGTTCAGTTAGACATAAGCAGGTCAGAAAGTTCGTTTACACGTCTTATTATTCAAGAAGTTAATCTTTTTAAAATGTTTACGATCATATGAGTTAGCAATGAATTATTTGAGACTTATGAATACAGTGAAGTAGTTTAATTTTTAACTCACTTAAAAGCTAGTCATATATAAAAATCTGAGCAGTTTTATAGTGTTTTTACGGACGAATTATGAAAAGTGCCTTAATCATCGAGGAAACTATTTTAAAAAATAGTATATCTTTACTTATGTTTACGCTTATTTGTACATAAATATGTACTTAAAGATAATGTTTAGAAAATAAAATAAATCATACAAAATACTTTAGCATAGGGAGCAAAAATGTAAAAAGTTGCATGAGAAAATTTGAAGTTTATGCTGTTTATGAAGTTAAGATTATGCGGATTGACTTGTGCAATTAGAGTCAATATTCATTGTAATGATTGTAGTTTCTATTTCACATTAAAAAATGTAGTTGGTTTCATATCAGTATATTAGTTGTTTTATAAAAATATTTAATTTAGATTTATTTACGATCAAAATTTTAAATTTAATTATAATTAAAAGTAGATATTTTTACTGCAAACAAGTAAACAAGTAAGTATTATTTAGTTAAATATTTTTATTATAATTAACAGCATATTATGAAAATTATGTTTCATTCATTCATAAAATATATATATATGTATACAGAATCGTATATATATATATATATATATACGATTCTGAAATTCTCCTTTCTGTGGAGTCTACCAATGGACGAGTGAACAGAACTATCAAGCACTGGTCGCGGGTTCGCATCTGATCAACATGTTGACTGGAGAAGTTTTCCGAGTTTACTCACGTTTCTAACACCTAAATAGGAACTAGTTTTTTCATAGAATACTCCACGAGAGTCATTCTGCGCATGGAAAATCACTCACGCGCTGAGATGCACGGTATCCCATCAAGCCAATTTATTTTTTCACTTTTATTTAAAAAAAATTTATTTAAAATAATAAGGTATTGCAGAGAAATATTGGAAATCACACTTACCAGAATATTTTCTAATGACATTCATTTATTTCGAATATGAATATCGTGGTTTTATTAAATTCAACAGCCAGCTGTTGAATTTAATAAAACCCTAAACAGGGTACTACAGGAAATGAGTTCTCTATTTCAGGTTTTATCGTACGTAAGTAATGTTAATGTTAATACAATANTTTTATATATTATTTGTTTATTGTAAACATTTTTATATTAAAAAATAAATTATTTCCAGGGGTAATAATTTTCGGTTCTGATCAAGAGGTTGCTGGAGTAATGAGAGCAATTCGCAGGAACAATGCAACAGGAACTTTCTCTTGGATAGGCAGTGATGGATGGAGTGCAAGGGCTCTGGTATTCGAAGGTAACGAAGATCAAGTGGAAGGTACTCTTTCTGTACAGCCAAGAGCACATCCTGTGAAAGGCTTTGACGAATATTTTCTTAGTAGAACGGTCTATAATAATCGAAGAAATCCTTGGTTTATAGAATATTGGGAACATTATTTTAACTGTCGATGGCCAAATAGCACTGATACCCCATTTAATGGAAATTATACTCGTTTCTGTACAGGAAAAGAGCAAATGAATTTTGAAAATGGTTACGAACCAGAAGGTCAACTTCAATTTGTTAGTGATGCTGTATTAACTTTTGCTTATGCATTGAAAAGAATGCATCAAGAATTATGTCAGGGGAAATCTGGATTATGTCAAAGAATGAAGCCTGTTAATGGAACAATTTTATTAGAATATTTAAAGACAGTATCTTTTACAGGTAACATTAATTTTAATTATTAGTAATTAGTAATGAAATAATTACGTCACTGTATATATATTCAAACCGTAATTTAAATTATTTTAATTATAGGTATGAGTGGAGACGAGTTTCGCTTCTCTCCATCTGGAGATGGTCCTGCACGTTATAACATAATTCATTTCAAACAAATATCTCCTGGAAATTACAAATGGATTCAAGTAGGGGAATACAAAGATGGCGAACTCGAGTTGAATCTCTCTGAAATCAGATTTAGAATGGATAATCCGAATGTACCTATTTCAGTCTGCAGTTTACCCTGCAGTAAAGGTCAAGCTAAGAAGTTTTTGGAAGGAGAAAGTTGTTGCTGGCATTGCTTTAACTGTTCTCGTTATCAATTCTTAAAAACTGAGACACTTTGTGCAGATTGCCCTCCAGGATTTTTACCGGATGCAGAACAAGCGTCATGCTTGCAGATACCGGAATCTCATATGACACCTGGATGTTCATGGGCTTTGGGTGCTATGACATTCTCTACTTTAGGAATTATACTAACAGGATTTTTCACTACGGTATTTCTGAAACATAATGACACTCCAATCGTTAGAGCTTCTGGAAGAGAACTCAGTTACGTCTTACTCTGTGGCATTTTCATGTGCTACATTATGACCTTTATTTTGGTACAGAAACCATCAGATATTATATGCGGTGTTCAGAAAACAGGCATCGGCTTGTGCTTTGCAATCGTATACAGTGCCATATTAACTAAAACTAATCGCATTTCACGTATTTTTAATGCTGGAAAGAAAACTGTCAGCAAACCAGCATTCATATCTCCTCAATCTCAGTTGATCATTTGTGGGGCTTTGGTTAGTGTTCAAATATCAATCACATCAGTTTGGTTAGTATTTACACCACCCCGTGCCATTCATTCATATCCTTCACGAGAAGAAAATCTTCTAGTTTGCGCTGCATCCATGAATGCGACATACATGGTAGCTTTTGCTTATCCAATATTTCTGATTATTATCTGCACTATTTACGCTATTTTAACACGAAAAATACCAGAAGCATTCAACGAATCGAAATATATAGGACTTACCATGTACACAACATGCATTATATGGCTGGCATTCGTTCCTATATATTTTACAACTTCTTCAAATGTAGAAGTTAACATTACTTCGATGTGTTTGACGATAAGTTTAAGTGCAACAGTAACATTAGTGTGTCTCTTCACTCCGAAAGTCTATATCATAATCTGGCATCCAGAAAGGAATGTTCGTATGAGCATGATGAAACAAAAGCGAAAATGCATGAATTCGATAATAGGTGCTGAAGTTTCTTCTCAAGTTGACGGTTAGTATATAAACAGTTATCTTTAATTTATTTCTATAATGCTCACAAAATTCGAATTGAAATTACCTTAAATATTAAAAGTATATTTTTACGAATAATTTACTGAATTTCTTTTTACCATATAAAAATCCAATATTAATGAATGCGTTTAAATCCACTTCTCAATAGTAAAAGTTAAGAATAAATTTAAAGTTATGAACTTAATTGAAAATTGCTCATTTTTATGACTAATATAAATGGGTAACATTGCCCTAAAAGACTTTTAATGAATTATGAAAAATTCTACAGTTAAAATTATATAATTTAAATGACAAGTTAATAACGTAAAACGTTAATTTTATGTCACGACCATTTATTTTTAGTTATTAAAATTCTTATGAATTTTATTAAAATCAACTTTAGTAATAACGTCGCTTAATAAAATGAAGTTTTTATACTTTTTCACTTTAATTTTACATATTTTTTTAATATAAAAATTTAAAACGTTGTTTTAAAATGATTGAAAGTTCTTAAATTATAGTCGTTTCTAAGTGTTTTTTTCGTTATTTTGAAATTAGTAATTATTCTAGATGTTATTAACCTCTATATTAACCTATATATAACTTATGTATTAACCTGTGCATGACGCTATGTTTTACTGTCTTTCGAAACACATTTTTATTTAGTCTTTATCTCTATTTAAGCGAAGGATTGCAGAAAATAAGAACAGCTTATTAAGAAACAGCGTTTACTTTTTACTTTCCCGGCAGTTGTATATAACAGGGAAAAAGTATGGCGATCGGTCAAAAAAATTACCCCCAAGATTTTTACATTTTTGGAATCATGGAACCTTGAACATCTGTAAATGCAAAAAAATTATTTTTTTTTTCTGTATGTATATGTGAGATTAGCCGGGGGCCAAGGAGGCGATCCCTAGTGACCACTTACTCGGCAACAGGTCGGTGAGATCCGATCTCGTTGTCTGCGGATGGTTTTCGGGGGAAGGTCGGCAAGATAGTGAGATCCGTCCGACGTCAAGACTGACATCAGTTAGGATAATACAAAATCTCGTCCTAACTCGCGATTCTTAAATGATGAATAGGAGGGTCGATTAAACTGTCGAGTGGGGAGTGAGGCGGGTAAGTCGAGAGGGTGTCCGTTTCCCGAGTGAGACAGGAAAACAGGTTTAACAAATATACAAAAGTTTAATATATATCTAAGCTAGGATATATGAGAAAATACAAGTTGTATGACTAAATATGGCGATTATATGAGGATATTATCAAATATTACAAGGCCTCCCGATTATTTTACTACCTATACTGCGAGCGCGTATGGTCCGCCGGATTGAACTCCTCTATCTTTACTCGGGATGTTCACTACCTTCACATACGTCTATGTATTTCCACTTCTTCCAGGTACTCCACACCCGCACTGTCGCGTCTGTTTCCTTTTATCCTTGTTGGCCTGGGAAAGTCGATCATGTGATCGGCAGTTGTTAGCGACGAAGTTTGATTTCGCAGGTGTTAGTTCAGAGGTGACTTAAAGATGTCACTTGGTTGCAGCTGTCATGCCCATATTTGGTTGTGGACTTGCAAGACTATTCTGTTTATTCGATCGATCAACGTTTAACTTTCTCCTCTCTTAAGATCAAATCGTTATCGTTTGACAGTCTGTTGTTAGAATTCTCTAGCATTTGTTGACTGGAACTGTGTCATTCACTCTGTTTTCCAGCGATGTTTTTCAACTATCGCGACGGAGAATAGGCTTATAAAAATTTTCTAAATTTTCACATCATCAAACCTGCGATCTCACATATAGATGTTAGTGTAAGATATAGTGTGAGTACGTATGTATGTGTGGCATGATTTTGTTTACTTCTTTAAAGCTTAATAACTCCCGTGCTTTTTGTCGAAAATTTATGAAATTTTGCAGAGAGAGGTTTGTTTATTAGGAGGATCGATGCAATTAAATTTTGGTGATTAAAGTCGAAGGGTAGGAAGATGAAGGGGGTGGTGTTTCCCATTTATCTCCCCATAACTTCAGTAGGGTTGAACTAAATGACTGATTATTAGCATTTACAATTTTTTATAAATGCCATCCCTCAAAATTAAGTTTTTTGCCATTTTATAATAATTAAAATTATAAAAAGTTTTTTGTAATAAAATATTGTAACTAATGGCTCCACCAAATGTTGCCGGGAAAGTTAAACAACTCGCTGCTGGATTTTTAATTCAGAAAACAAAATTTTGTAAAATGAGAAATGTCGTAAAACTAGGAGTCACATTTCGCAAAGGTGGAAAAAGATTGAAAAAAATTAAGCCCATTATTGCAAAATATGAAGAGAACGTTGTTTAAATTAAAAATATTTACCATATTTGGTAAATAGTCGACCATTTGCCAAATATGGGAAAGATGTTTTCCTATTAAAAGAGACAACTTTCCCAAATTAAGAACAATATTATAAATATATAAGGAAATGATCAACAGTGTTTTTTACATCCTTATTATCGGTTAAATGGAAGAACGAAGAGGTAACTTCGTAGAACTAGTTCATAAGGTAGTATCTTTACTTCCAATTTCATCAAATACAGATATGTATCGCCCAAATATTTCCGAATGTAAGATTCAGTAATATTTATATCTGTATGTGCTGTTACTAATCTAAGTTTCAAAATGTTTATTTTATTTTGCGTTGTGGTAAAGTGAGATGGAAAGAAAACGTAACGACTTCCGAGTGACAAAGCGAATAGGCTACCATAGTACGTCCGGAAAAGGACGTAATATGTTTTCGCTTTGGCAGAGTTACATTCCAATAGTGCGTGGATAACTGTGATCACAGAAGACAAAAGAAAACGGATAACGTTCGATGAAATCAAAATATTGTTGTAGGGTATGAAAAGAGTATGAAGGCAACATACGACTCCATACGTTTGCTATTCGGTTATAGGACTTACGATTCGGTACGTAATAGCGAAAGAAAGTTAAAGGGAAAAAAAACTTTTATAGGGCTTTTGAGTGATACTCTATATATCGAATTTGCTAACGATGTAAAATTTATTTTCACTGCAATACCGACTGTCATATATACAGTAGTAAAAAGTGTGTAATTCTGTGATATTGATTAGCACATAAAGTACTGTACAGTACCTTGGTTCTGATTTCAAAACAAAAAAATCAAGCAATGAGTCACTTAACATTCCTGGCAACATTTTGTGGTGCTATCTATTAAGATATTTTGTAAAAAATAACTTTATATATTCTTAATTGTTATAAAATGTCAAATAGCTTAATTTTCAGACTAGGGATGGGATTTATAATGAACGTTTAAATGCTAATAACGAGTAAAATAGTTATTAAGTCCGACTTTACTCGAGATGAGACACACGACTCCGTTTTATCTCCCATCCCATCGACCTTTAACAACTAAAATTTAATAGCATCAATTCCCTAATACACAAACTTCCGTGAAAAATTTCTGGAAATTTCGACAAAAAGCGCATGAGTTACTAAGCTTCAAAGTAGATGAACAAAATCGTTCTTTGCATTTCTCGACTCTCAAGTTCAAAAATGCAGGGATTCCGGAGATTCGGTGTCGGCAGTCGAGAGTCAAGGAATCGAATCTTTGTATGGGAGTTGGAAAATTTATAGACCCCCTACTCCTTACGTCGCTTTGACGTTGAAAAAAATTTAAAAATTTTAAAAGTCGTTAATGCAGTTATTTTTGACTTTTTTTTTTTTTTTACTGCACTGCCTCCTACCCAAGTCAGTGTTGAACGATTATTTTCAGCTCTGCGTTTAATCAAATCTCACTTGCACGCTAACTTGATATTACACTATACATAATGATATTAATATCACAATATTAATGTTAATATCATTATGTGTTAAATATTAATGTATTGCTATACTTAAAATAATAAAAATTTAATAAAGTCCCTTTTATAAGGGCAAAACTTATTATTAAATATGTATTAAGCATATGCAATGGCAAAATGGCCCAAAATAAAACAATGTTCTAAATTAACATTTTCATATAAAATGGTTAAAATTTAAAAACTGTATTCAAAGTCAATATTTACTGTTTTTTTAACTGCTTTTAATGTAAACTAATGATTCCGAAACTTTTTCGAGCCATCGCCCCCTCCCCTGGTTCCATAAAATTATTAATATATCCAACGCTCCAAATCGTATCCCAACGTCTCCTAACCCATTTTTTCTTATGTGAGAACAGCTTAGAAATATTCTTAGAAAAATTTTTCTGTGAATCTCACACTTTGTATCCTTACCGTACATTGTTGTCCACATCTGGAACCATTAAACGCAATGTTTCTTCTTATCTATTTTAAAAGAGAAAAGGGAAAGATTGTCAGTGACAATAACCTTTGTCTATGGTCACCGTTCAGTACTCTGCCTCTTACGCCCCCTTCTGCCCATTTAATTCTTTTCTCTCCCTAGATTTACTCACCGAGCTTACGAGGGGCGATAACGCCCACTTTGGGAACCACAGACATTGTAAACCGTTTGGAAATCGTAAAAGTCCTATTATACGATTAAAGTATTACGTTACTAATATGTATATTACTATATATGTTACCGCTAAAGCTCGAAATCCGTTAATGTGTACATTACCTAGCTAATCTGCAGATTAACTAGGGTGATCCGTTAAAGCTGCGAAAATTGTTCAATTTCTCAAATTACCTAGGTAATTTGCAGAGTATCTAGGTAATCTGCACATTAACGGCTTCCGTATCGTTAAAGTTCAAAAGTTTGTTTCTTTCACTTCCTTTCCCCACTCCTTCTTTTTACGTAGATAAATTTAAATCCTAGAATGCAAGCAAGCACCGAATTGGTGAGTAAAATCAAGAAAAGATTCTTCGCAAACCTCTTTAGCGAAGATTTAAAATATAATACGTAGTGTTTTAATAACAAACCAAAGTATGATTCCATAATTGAAGATGTAAAGCAAATAAAAGTTTCCAAGAAGAAAGAATCATCTCGAGATTATCAAATAATTCAAA